TGTTGTTTTGTGTTCTTACTGTGGACTCTGAGGGGCTCTGGTAGGGCACACCCCAGACCTAAGTCCCCTTGTCCTTACCTTGGCCCCGCTGGATGTTTTGAGGACACAGGGACAGCCTGACTGAGTAGCAAAGGTGCTTGTCTTGGTATTTTCCAGCATGGGTCACTAGCTCACTAACGCCAGAGTTTGACTCAGTATCTTTGGGCAGCATTAGTGCACCAGGCTACCATTCCTTTCTTTTTCTTCTTCTTCTTCTTCTTTTTTTTTGACTTTTTATCTTTGAAATAATTTGAAAATTATAGAATAGTTGCAGGACCACTATGAAATACTCCTTCACACACACACACACACACACACACACACACACGCACACACACGCACACACACACACTCACAGATCAATTTTTCTTTTCTGAATCATATGAGAATACACTGGAAATGTAACGGTCCTTTACCTCTCCCCTCCCAGCTTTATTGAGATGTTAATGACAAGTTAAGTGAACAATGTGATGATTTGATATATGGATACGTTGTGCAGCGCCTTTTTTTGTGTGATGCCTCATACGTGCTTGATTCAGCTGACTTTAGTTTACCACCTGTGAGACTTGCCCACTTTTTTGGAGGAACTCAAGGGTGGAACCAAAAGGAAGAAAGGAGAACCAGCCCCAACCAGAGTAAATGCCCTTCATACACCTGAGCAATGTCATAGCTGTAAAATCCTGTGTAAATGTCACACTATATATGCTGTCATAATGAAGATTTTGACCAATGAAGTGTCAAATTGTGTGCTAACAAAGGCAGGGAAATGCTGAACAGAGAGGGCAGAACCTTTAAAATTCTTGTCCTTTCCTTCTTAATTCAAGGTTGACAGCTTCTCCGTGGTGCCAATGTCCCTGTATGATTTACCAGACTGATTTTCCAGTAGGTGTTGACCCTTCCTGGATGTATTCTAAACAGCTTGGGTGTATACGTCTGAGGCTAAAGGACATTTCAGACTCAGCTCCGTGTTTTTACTCCCCCAGCAAACACCCAAACGTGAGAAGCAAGAATGACTGATATAGACTTCATTCCATTATGGCCAAGTTGATAAGTGTCTTTTTTATATTCTAGGAGCAAAAACAGAAATCTTACACAAACTTTTGTAGCTTATCCTGGCTACAGAGTTAAGATCATTTTCCCGGGGCATCAAGTTTGCAAATACAATGGATGTGAAACGCTTGACAGCTTCTTGTATTTGTGAATTGCCCAGGAATCTTTGTGAAGACTAGCATAATAAAAGAAAGCTATCCTACTTGGAAAGAGGAAGCATGTCGAATAAATAACACACTAACTCTAAGCCTTGAGGTCTATAGCAGTATCCTATCTTTTTCCGTCATTCATGTTGGACATACATAATTAAATGCCTCATCTCTAAGTGGGTAAAACCATAAATTATTGCACAATGTGTTAAACTAAGAATCAGTACAGATTTCCTTTAGTAATTTGGACACAACCTTCAAGTGGTAAACTTTACCAGTAATCTGTCAGACTGAGGGGAACAGATCAACAGATTGTTTTTAATAAACAGATGTGTGAGAGAACCTGTTACTTCAAAATATCTTTGTACTTGGAAATCATCTTCTCTTTGATAAAAAAAAATGGGCAGAAATGAGTCTGAAGATATGCCTCCTTAATATTTCTTAATAGACTTAACAGATCTTTCATCTAAATTTAAACTTCAGGGTCGTAGACACTCATGTCATTTTTTTACTGTCATCATTATTAAAATTTTAAAAAGCCTCATGAAAGGCCAAAAAATCTTTTTTGTTCCTACACACTTAGTGTCGTAAGAGAGATGGCTAAAATGACAAGTTTCCAAATAACATGAATAATGCATTTCCCCTTTATCCGAAGCAAGTGTACATTGCTCCTAAAGGATGTTTAATCCGTTCCCTCTTTTTTTGTTGTTGTTTTTTAGAAGAGAAATGGAGGACAAGGAAAGGAATGAAAGGATTTACAGCTAGAACTGTCACTTCATAAAAGATACATATTTGACTTGTGAAGTATAAAATAATTGCTGTAGTAATATTGAGTTTAGACGGGGTGGTGGATCTTAATATGAATAAAAAGCAAATTATATTTCTGTTAACATTCAAGGCTATTTCTTTGGGACAGAATTATTACACATTACTCTTTATTATGCCATGAAAATAGTGGAGCCCATGTTAAGAAATCTCATCTATGTATACGTATATAAATATTTACTCCAGGAAGCCCCAGGTCTACATTTGTAGAATAAGTTTCAAAGAATGGAGCTTTCATAAAAGTTGGATAGAGAAGTTTAAGATGGCTTTCCCTACCTTACACTTTTCCTCCACTACCTCTCACCCCTTCTATCAGAGAAAGTGCTCACGTGAGTGATCATCACCATCACTGGATGGTTGAGAGTGAAGTCTGGGGGTAGATGTGAGGAAAGCCATAGCTCCTTGAAGGTTCCAGTTTCCTTGTGTTTGCTTATAGTGCCCGGGGCAGCAAAATGGCCCTAGGGCTAAGGCTATGTCTGCCCTAAGAGTTACCTTTGCGCTGAGAAGATCCAGGGTCTGCTGGATTAGCCACGCTCTTGTTTAGGCCTCATTTCAGTTCCTTGCTGCATTTTTCTCTAGACACATCTTTCCTTGCTACCGAGGTGGTAAAACACCTTTGAGGAAAGTAAGATTGGCAGGGGAGCACAGGAGGAAGGAACGAAGGCTGTAAACCTGCATTTTGCTTTTATGCTCCGTGTGGTTCAATGGAGTTCATCCAGAGAACATTTCAGGATTTTTCAGCTAAAGCTCCAGCAATGAATAAAGGCCATGCATTTCCCCCTGCCTCTTCCTCTGTGTATCTCTTTCTCATGGGGTAGGGGTAATGGGGTAAAGGTGGTAAACACAGTAGGTGACTGGTTAAGACTTCTGGATGCTGGGTTAGATCTCTCCTTAAGTGACCTCTTGGCCTAAGATCAAGGGAGGATGCCCCCCACAACCTTCCCCCCCCCCCAGAACAAGAATAGGTTCTTGTAAGAAGTAAGACAGAAAAGTCAAGTAAGTACAGGTTCAGAATTCCAAGTATTAGAAGTCAGTCAGCAAACAGTTTCTAAGAAGTTCCTTAATTTTCTCCTTGCGATAATAGTAAGTAATAATCAGCTATTAACCACTTTGGTTTCTTAGCCCTCTGGGTGGTGACGACTTTCTTCTTGGGCTATTCTAAGTAAGAAAATTTTCAGGATCCCCAACCCTTCCGGCTGCTACCTCATTAAAGAACAACAAAAAGGTGTCTGTCCATGTTGAAACGCCAAGAAAATAACCCATGAAGCCTACAAAATAGGTTCGTGATTCTAATTAAATTGATTCCAATTAAATTGATATAAGGAGGGCTAAAGGAAAAAGTTCTGTAATGAAGAATCACTATATGTCATGAGCTAAGGATTATGATGAACGACTTCTTTGTACCTAGAGCGTAACTTAAAAAACTACTTAATGACTTTAGGGAAAAGTTTGACCCTCAAACATGTTATAATTTAGTAACACTAGAGAACCCATGAAAAGAAAACATAATTATAGTCAGTGCTTTTGTTCAATATCACATAAAGGGGAAAGGACACTAGGAAGTCCCTTCACTCTTCCCAAGAGAAGAGTATTGCATACTAGCTAATGTAGACAAGCGAAGAAGGAATTGATGGATAACTGGCATTCTTGAACTTCAAACTTTGGGTACTTCCTTACTGCTGACAAGGAGAAAGCAGAGAACACAGCCCATCGCTGACTACAGTAGTTTTTCTAAAGGTGATCAGCACTAAGAATGATGGGCTTATGGGATGGAATAGAAGAAATCTCCGCACTGGGTGATGCCATCTAATTATAGAAGTCAAATTACTTTAGAATCTTCAAAACACCCAGACAAGGATGTATATAGCATGTTCACAAGATGGCTCTTTATAAGCCATGTACTTTCATAATGAATCTAAGCCTTCACAGCAAGAATAAAAATAACCACATGCCATTCTTATAAAAGTAAATAATAATCATGAACAGGGTTGCTCAGAAACTGGACTCATATTGCTCTCATTCAAATGGAAAAATTCCCCTAGTCACTGACAGATTTGCCAAACCATTCAACTGAAATCCTGGAAAACACTGCTTTCTTTCTCCTGAATTGTTAAACTACTATGCTATGCTCTAAAATCCCATAGCTAAGATTTAGCTGTGCTCAATTCACTTGTCCAAAATATATAAAGGCATTATTTTTATAAATGTCTAAGTGTGTTAATGATTTTAAGCCTTCTTTTAAGTATAGTTACTTCCATAAGAGGTTTTTCACAAATCAACTAGCTTTATAAATTTTGAGTAATATTTTGAATTTTTTTTCCTCTTTTACAACTTTTGTGTCATTCTCAAATTCAAAGCTTCAAAAACATTGAAGTGTTGGGGTAAGGCTTTTAAGATATTTGTCCAAAATGGCTTTTTTTTTTTTAAAAAAACAGGTATCACTTATTGTGTCATAGGGATCCTAATCGCAGCTTCCTAACGAGACAAAGCCCCAGAATTTTACAAGAGTTGCCCAGTGGAAGTAAATCCAGGTTCAAAGAGATAAGAAGAAAGGAGTAATTTGTTATTCAGAATATATATATGTTCGGCCACAGCAATTTTGCACCCTTTGTTCTGCCTTGTATGTCTCAATAAAGAAATAGATGCTGCCGTGAAAGTCACCCCCTGAAAACAGAGAAGAGAGTAAGTAAATGAGTGAGAGCTGACATAACTCCAAGTCATTTTACCAAGGAGTTGCACATCGGATGATTTCTCACAAGTTGGCAAGCTTTTCCAAAGTCTAGTTTTTATGAATATCCTTCGAACAAGTTGGGTGGAATGCAGTCTATACCCTATGAAATATCATTGGTTTTTATTACCAAGTTGGAACTGTTTAGGATCACCAAATAACAGGGTTCAAAAGTAAAACAGCTGAAAAATCCAACAGTCTGGTCTAACCTGGGATGCTCTGTCTCCTCACAGCCAACGCTCCATCAGGCGGCTTTGTCTGGCTGGCGGATTTAGTGTAGGGGCTCTCATCTGCAAAGGTACAATGAAGCGTTTGGTTAATTTCCATCCAGTTTCTAATGCAGTGAAGATTTTTTAATGGACTGCAATCCTTCTGCCAGAGAGAAGTGATATGGTATGGTATGGTATGGTAGAAAGAGTCAGGAGATCGGAGTGTTAACCTTGGCTTAGCTGTGGGGCAAGTCATTTAAAATGCACTGAGCAGGGGGCGCCTGGGTGGCTCGGTCTGTTAAAATGCACTGAGCATTGGTTTTCTCCCCTATAAAAGAGGGAGAGAGATACTTTCTCATCTACCTCTTAGGACTGTCAGGATCAAGCTGTCGTGTACGTGAAGGCATAACATGGTAAGAACTATGCAATACAGCATACAAATTATTTGCCTGTCACCTACATGCATTGATAAATAAGTATCAGTGAATATCAATAAGAGGAAGACAAAGAAGGAATAAAATGGCTCAGTGGGCACTAAGAATAATCAGGTAGAAGAACAAAGGAAATGAAACGAAATGTTATATTTCAGATGACAGGGCATTATAAGCAGATGACAGAGCATTAGTATTGCAGGAAAATAAAGACACACTAAATTAGTGGGTTCCTCTTGGAAGTGCAAAATGGCATCCAGATATATGGAGGGACATGGACATTTAGAGTAAGACCAGAGAAGCTATGCTGAGAACAGGAAAGGAATGATGGTTTGGCAAAAGAGGACGTATATTGCAATGGGCTGATCTGCCCTCTTTTAGAAAGATATAAAAATAACCTGCAGAACCATAAAGAGAACAACTGAAACGACAGAAGGACCAAAGCTCAGCATATCTGTGACAGGCAAGAAGCTAGATGAGCAAAACACTAGGTGACAAGATCATAGAGGTGATGGATCTATGAAATTCTAAGTAAAGTGGTTTTATTTAAATATAGAAAAGGATTTAATCTGGCTTGGAATACAGGAGTAATGAACTAGGATGGCAAATGTTAGGGTTAAAAAAGAAAGGAAGAATTCTTCCTAATTTGCACGGGGCATTTGTATAAAGTAAGAGATGTCTGAGTGACAGTCTTAAACATTTTCAAGAATAAGATATGTATGGCCATAGTGGACATAATGTAAATTAATTATCTAGCATATCGAGTCAAGCTAGATGACCCAAACGGTACTTCCGGCCATACTGTAAAGTTTGTTGTGGGTGTTGTTGTAATAGGAAATCACTAGATGATTCAAAAGAACTGTATTGTACAATGCAAACTATTAAATATAACAAGGAGTTAATTCGGCAAGTAGGCTTTATCATCTGAAAACATTAATTCTCCCAACTAAGTGGTTTGTGTTTCAAAATTGGGGAACTCAGTTCCTTTCTAGGATGTACTTCTGGTTGAAATGATTCATGATTTCTTCATAAAACTAACAAGGCCTTTAGAAGCAATGACAAAAAGCAAAGATTAACACTGTTGTAAGCTGCAATTAACTTAAAAAATGGAAATCACGCTGTTTCATGTTTATATTCCATTTGTCACACAATTCTTTATGTTCTTTCAACCACAGATATAATGTACCAACTTTCAGATACCAATATAATCAACAGCATCATTTTTGCTTATAATATAGTATCCTGGATCTTTGACTCTTCTCGATGCGGATGCAATTTTGAGTATAATCAGAAACCACAAGACAAAATGTAAACATTGCACTACAAAAGTCTCTATTTGCCCCATCATTTCCACTTGAGTATTTGAGTTTTTCTCACAGTATTGATTTAATAACCAGGCAATGTGTTTTATACAGCACCTATTAAAACAAACTTACTATATATGAAAATTTGGATTCTTTATAAAACCAACTAAAAATATATTTCCCTTTATAATCCAAATCTTTGAAACTGTATATGTATGAGTACAGAGCGCTGAATCAAGGAGATATGGATCATAACAACTAGTTTTAGGAATAGCATCTTGGAAGCCTAAAAGCTTTCTTCCGTTTTCAGTTTGTCAAGAGTCCAGCCAATTAAAGTCTTGGGTTGAATCCAGTGTTGGATTTTCTTAAAGGGCAATAAGAGATTTACCCAGGAGACTCTGGGGTTTTTTGCACTCAATGTTCTATTTTAAGGAGCTATTTCTTTAGAAATTTACCACTTTGCACTACAAAAGTAGACAACTTTGGTGAAATTGTTTTCTCATTTATATTTGAAAACAGTTTCCTTGATTTAGAGCTGACACAGTCTAGCTATGCACATCCTAAAAGGTTGAAACCACATTACAGATGGCCACCTGGCCAGTCTCTACATATCCATTCCCCAGTCTCCCGCTCCTTCTCCCAGTATTAAGAGTGTCCTTACTGAGCATAAACAAAAGTAAACAATCATCTAGAAGCCAAAGTTGTATTGGTCAAAGTTCCAGACTGAAGTAAACTTGACATTATCTAAGAATAGCTTGCCGAAGTCAATCAAGGTGAAAACAATAATTCCTAATGGAAAGCAAGTCAGAATCCTGGCAACGTTTATCATGAGAAGTAAGCCGAGCACAGCAACACAGCAGTGTGGCACCATCTCACATTTGCTTTTAAGAATACATTCTAAGATATTCTAAGAACATCTGTTTATTTTAAACCTCTAGGAGGCATCACGGGCCTTTTATGAAAAGCTGCCCATTACAGAATGGACATCAACTCTTGATGTGACCTACTCAAAGTCAACTCTTGATTCAAATTTTGTTTGAAAGTAGAAGTGGAGGAAAGACACTGAATAAATCAGTGGCTGATGGCTCTAGAGCAGGTTACTAAAGGACAAGAAGGTCGGGGGCACCTTTTTAATCCTTAAGCGGAAAGTCATGGAGAGCTATGGAGTCTTCTATTGTGGTTTTCTCATGTGTTCCTTAATGGAGACTGGTTGACATAGCATCAGAATTTCATGTTATAAGGGATAATGTAGGCTAGTCTTTTCATTTTACAGTCAGGACTTAAAGTCCAGAGAGGTAAATTTATAGAAGAACACACATCTAGAGTGAGTCTGGACTGAATTTCGTTTATTTTTATTCTCATGCTCTTTCCTCCTTATGCTACTTCCTCTTGCATGAACAATGAGCTTTGATAGGTTCTTCTTTGCATGTTTCTGTATCATACAGGTAAGCAAATGAACACAACACTCCAGCCGCCAGCTTGCAAAACGTAAGCTGAATTCCTATGGAGAAGGCTATGAAAATGAGCAATCAGAGCTAATTTCTTTTGTGTGTATAGAAATCTCATTTTCCCCCTCCTCCATATATTTGTTGGCCTAAAATGAAGTGTATTTAAGTTGTACCATAGTATCCATCCATCCTTTTAAGTTCACTTTTTGGAAGATAAAGATTTAAAATACATGCCAGTACAATTCACTGTTCCTCAGTTAAGGTCTTAAAAGGTTCCCTGAATATAAGACCCACGTTAATACTTCTTTATTTTATCAGGGAGACACTAAACAGACTTCCAAGTTCCATTCAGTTACACAGGTGAGTTAAAAAAATAGGTCAAATAATAAGGAAAAGAATCAATCAGTAGATATTATCTCCAGAACAGTGCCTGACACATAACATGTATTCATTAGACATTTGCTGATAGATGATTGAATTATATTCAACTTTTCAACCTAGGGCATTTATTATAGATTTATTATAAATTAATTATAAATAAGCAACCTGAAGAAAGTCAAACATTTGTTATGGACCATCCTTCTTCCTATCTCTGATTTTCTTTTTCTAGGTTTATAGCCAAGTCCTTTTAATGTCACATCATCCTCCAATAGCTGTTAAGGACTGACTTAATATGTATTTAAAAAATTTGTGACTCTTTATAAAAACTAATATTGAAATATATTTCCTTGGGGCACCAGGGTGGCTCAGTCGGTTAAGTGTCCAACTTCAGCTCAGGTCATGGTCTCGTGGGTTCGTGGGTTTGAGCCCTGTGTCGGGCTCTGTGCTGACAGCTCGGAGCCTGGAGCCTGCTTTGGATTCTGTGTCCCTCTCTCTCTCTGTCCCTCCCCAGCTCGTGCTCTGTCTCTCTCTGTCTCTCAAAAATGAATACATGTTAAAAGAATATTTTTAAAATAAAAAATATATTTCCTTTAATTTTAATTCAGACTACAGAAAGATTTATCAAACGTCCTTTAGGATAATGTCTCTAAGCAAAAGAATTCTGATTTTCACACAGGACTTCCAGCCTTGACTTTGATGATAGATCACATAAAAAGGGATCCTTATTGAAAGTCACCATAGGGGCAAAGCAGACATTCAACTGGTGAGCTACTGTTCACTGAAGTGAATGCTGTAAGTAATCATTAAGGGCACTATAGGGTGTCAGAACTGTCAACCTTCTCTAATGACATCTTAGCAGCTAAATAATCACTGTCACACATGATGGCCGCCCACTGTCATAGGGGCTATGTATTGGTTATAACAAGGAAGAGCATAGGTCCCCTTTAGAGTGACATCCCATGAAGCGAGGGAAAATGCCCTCCATTAAATGGAGAATCGACACTGTGACAGAGGCACAGAAAGGGCTTAGTCAAGCATATACTTACAACAGAAGTGGAACAATGGGAAGACCATCTGTCCTTCTCATTCCCCCAAGTTTGGTCAGTCTCCCCATGTGCCAAACACAGGAGTGGCAAACACAAATCATTTGTTTTGATTACATATTCTGAGTGAAGCTGGTTTTTGTAAACTTGGAAAGCAAACACAGGCGCCTTCGTTCTGCATCACAACCAAAGCCCATGCTGGGGCTGAGAAAACCACATCTTGAGGAATGGACTCAGGTCCCCTCATGTTCTCACAACCTTGAATGGTTGCTTGATATCAAATAGCATCCATGTGTAATCAGGCTGCTTCTTGTCTCTCCATCTCCTGCCTGCCCTAGTCCCAGTGTCTGGGATTCCCAGCGGGACAGGATATGACTATGGTTTCAAGAATCTCGAGCCGTGTTCATGGCTTTGTTGAAGAAAAAAAATTAATTTCCTTTGGCTGAGACTAATCAGCCTATGCTAAACAATGCC